TGAAGGAAAGGTTTTTTTTATTTTAATGAATGCCAGCTGTATTTCACAGGTGGGATTCAGTCCTAATCAAGCAAACAAATCATAACTATTCCTGAATTAGTCCATTCAAGTCAAGCATTCCTAGCTGGACTTCCTTCAATGAAGAGGATTGAAATATATGTGATATAAACAAGATACAGCAAACTCAAACCCTGAATCACATAGTACCTCCTGGCAAAGGAAGCAGGCAATGTAATTTAGTTGTAAGTTGTTATACCAAGATGTCAGTCGTGTTTGAAGACTGATGTTGACACTGCAATGAAGACACAGCTCTTTGAGCTGTTTCAGGTCTAGATGTGCGCTCTCTCAAGCTTGGCTTTCAGACCAGTGTTTTCTGGTTTTGATGAAGAGAGGTGATAAAAGAGAAACTCGTGCTGTTGGTGAGCAACATTGAAGAACCAACCCTTAAGTTTCTGCAGAGCAGAGTCACAGTTCTGTACTGGAACAGATATAATTTCAGGTAGTGCTCTTACAGGGTAGAAATGAGTTAACGTGCTGTATTCTGGGAAACATTATTTTATGTGCTGCACGCAGTGGAAGTCTGATCATACTGAGTTATGAGTTTTCATTATTTTTCACCTCTCTTGTACTTTTAGCGTGTATGGCAACATAGGTGAAAATCTTAATTTTCATTTTTAAGAAGTCTCAATTTTTCTGTAGGACATAAGCTATATTTTTTTTCTATAGTGTTGTCACACAATAAGTCAAATTCTAGTTTTTGAAAGCAAGTTTATAGGAACGTGGGAGCACAGGTGGAAGCAATTCAGCTGTGTGACTGGAAGGGATGCAGCCTGGCTGCACCTCTCTTAGACCTCACTGAAGGTCTTGGCTGGCTGCCACAGGGGAAGGATCTCTTTCTGGAGACCCCTCCTTGGTGATGCTTTCCCCTGCAAACCTGGAATCTTCTGATACAGGTGAGCAATCTTCTTCCCTTCCTTTGTAGCACCTTCCTGTTGTGCTGGTCCTTCTGTCAGTGTACCTCTGTTGTAATGCCTTTCCCTTTATGTTCGTCTGTCACATTGCTACAGCTGCTTAAGTCGGCTCACGTAGGACATGACTCAAAACCAATTCAGAGTCTTGTAAATGACTGGCTTTGATTTTGTTGTGCTTTAGGACAAGCTTTAGCAGGGAGCTGGAGCACTCCCCAATACAAGGTGTCCTACCAGATATTCAATAGAAGTACCATGAGTTGCATCCTTTTGCTCATTACGTTTTGAATATAGGATTTTTTTTTCTTTAGAATTCTGACCAGAAGGCCTATCATACTGCAGGTTTTCTGACTGTTCCCCAGTTTGGTGTGTTGTAAGAACTGCTTGGAATGTGTTCTTGAGTCTTATTGTGTTGCTTTGTCTCAGAATGGAAGCAATGACTTATCTCTTATCACTGGATGCAGCTCAAAGCTCTGCTTGCTGTGAAACCACATCTGTTCTATCCTTGCCTGACTTTGGAACAGTAAATGGTTCTAAAGTGTTACATGCAGAGCAGCCTGGCTGCTCAGAACAGTTGTGTGTTGCGGTTTCTTGAGAGCAGCTCTACTCTCTGAGCCAGCCCTCTCCATGAATCAAATTGCCCAATGTTCGTGCTTCAAGTACTGTGCTGACCTATATACCAGACTAAAGCTTCCTTTTCTAATGTTGACTTACGACTTAAGTGTCAGTGGCCTGTTTTTCTACACTATAGTTATTTTTCCTGTATAACAGTCCTCTGGGATGTGCAAAAGGCCAAATTCAGACTTCTTGGCAGTCGAGATGGGGGAAGAAGAAAAGGTCACTGCAGGACACTGATATAAAGTGGCAGACTTTGAAATAGTGCAACACAGCATTTTGGTTCAGAGATTTATGCACTGTTCTACGTTCTAAAATAGGAGAAATGCAGCCCTGGTGTCTCTTGTAAGCTCTCTTCTTTGTTAATTTACCTCAAAGCTTTTTCTTATACACTAAAACCCAACCTTCTTGTTAATGTTTCTGAAACATTAGAAGAAGGAAGCAGAAGATACTTTCAGCTTCATGTAGGTCTCTGGTTAACAAAAGAGCACTGTTCCTCTTTTGCAGAAAACAGAGAATAACCAGTGGTGACAAAAACTCTCTGTGCTCATCCTCGTGATTGGAGTACTGCTGCAGGATGTGATGCTTCTCTGGATCCACATGTGGCAACAGTTAGCATAGTGCTGCTTACTGCCCCGCACCAGAAACAAGCTGAACAAAAAAGTAAGGTGTACTCATGTCCTTTTTTTTTTTTTTTTTTTTCCCCTGGCTACTTATTCCCTCTGTTCTTTCTTTTTTGTTTAAAAGAGCACGGCTTAGAACTGATTCAAAAGAGAGTATGGACTGCTCAAAAATCTTTGGATCCTTTGCTCACATGTCAGCCTGGCCCAGCAGTTGTTGGCTTTGAGAAATGCAAGAAATTAAAAGATTATCTCATGCAGTCAAAAATTGTGGAAATTGCTTAATATTTGTGGAAGAACAACAACAACAACAAAAGCACAGAGCTCTCCAAACTATTTTGTGTCGTTCTTGCTTTGAGTACGTACTTTCATTGAAGGCATCTTTCTGAAGTTTTCTTGTGTGTTTGGAGGTTAGGGCTGTGTGTTATCCAGTGCTGCTGAGACTAATTAATCCATATGCTTCTAGGAAATGGGGGGGTTTCCTATGTGAGGCATAACAATTGGTAACAGGATTCAGTAACGTAGCTGAAGCTTGTTTGCAGATGGAGATAATATACGTGCCTGAGCTAGCTGACTCTCCATGTGGAAGGAAGGAAGGACTTTGTATCTTTCCATCTGCAATGGCAGTTAAGACTCATTTTTCCATCAGGGCAATGTACTTTACTTTAAGGAGTGGGTAGCAGCCTTGCCCAAGCTGTACTTCATTAATCAAAGCCTTTTAAATGCAGTTGTGCCTGCTGCTGTCACCTGAGGCTTATGCTTTTCTGCCGTCTGTGGGAAAGGAAGATTTTAAAGTACTGCAAAGAGTCAAATCTTTGGGCTTTCTTCTTTCCTTTTAGGAAGGCAAAATATTTCTCCTTCCAACCCAGGAAAATTTGAATACACTGGGATCACTGGCAATCTCAGTATTCCACTTAAATATGTGTGGGTTTTTTTTTAATTTATGTATGACTATTAACAAAACTCCTCACAAGATACTGAAATTATATCGTTCAAAAGATATGCATAGCATTCTCTTGTGCAGAAACAAGATCAGGATGGATGCCTTTGTGTTTAAAGTGTTCAGTTTGTGTTCTATACAGCAGAATGTAAGCTGAACGTTATCTGTAATTTTTATATCTATTGTATTACAGGCTGTAATCCCAGCTTCCTAAGTAAGCATTCATATATTAAGATCCATGCACGGTCATTTTAGTTACAGATCAACTTTCAGTTGGTAAATCCACTTGTTGATTCTTCCATTTGATTGTCACTTATCTTTATTCATTTAAAAAACAAACAAAAAGTGCATGCACAACAATAAACCTTTTTTTTTTTTTTTTTTCCTAGAAGGCAGTCACAGGTTTTTCTGAGCGCTAGTTTTAGAATTGTCTGTTTCGTATGTTTAGGGGAAGGATGTTGTTGATTTGAAGATAATTAATCATTTGCGGTGCTGGGTTTTGAGGTGCAATGTTTCCAGCTGTGCAAGACCCCAGCTGTCTTCCAACGTGACTCAGCTGGGCCACAAGCTTGTCTGGTTTGTAACAAAGGGGCTCAGGATATGTGGTGTGTGACTGCTCCCTGAAGTGCTCCTATTTCATATGGCGGAGCAGTAGGGACAAGGAACAGAGCAATGGTGTGTTTGAAACTGGTTTTGTGGATTAGGGAGCATTTCCTGGGAAAGAAAAGAGGGATAGGATGTAATAGCTCTCTGAGAAGGGTTCTGCTTTGGATTGCTGCAAGGAGCAATGCAGCACCAGTTGGGGCAGATGTGTTCTGCGTGGTTCTCCTGAACAAAAAAAGAAAGAATCTTGAAGGACAATTTTGGAACATTTTTATTCTTTCTGTATGGAAAGCATATGTTTTTCCTTAGCTTAGCAGTTACGTTTTGTGAGTCTGCATGCACTGGCTTGAATGGGCTGTTTAGAAAGAATATGAAATGCTCGCTGGTGGTAACATTTATCCAGTCCCTGCTTTCTTCCAGAGAAAAGAATGGCCTTCTTTGTAAACATAATTCCTGGAGATGAAAGTATCAGAGCAAAGGGATTAGTGGGTGGGCTCTTCGATATTCCCCAAGTCTGCAAAATACCATTTTTCCCCACACTAAAAAGAATTGCAGGCACATTCTTTCTCAGGAGATAACATGAAAGTTTTACTGAGAAGCAAGCAGGAGTTCCCACGAGTGTATGGGTAATATCACAATGCAAAAATGCTTATTTACAAAATAAAGCATGGACCTAGCAGTGAGACACTGAGATGTTTGTCCATTGTAATGTCATGACCATGATGTAAAGCTCAAGTCTATTCTACCAAAGTTCCTGCCTTAACTAGGAGTTTTGATGCTCTCAGTGCAAGCTACTGCTATGAATGCAGTACAGTCACCCGTAACATAAAAGACTGAGGAGCATGATTGTCTGGAGTGATAAATGCAAACAATGATGCTAATATTATGAATTGTTCAGTGCTTAATTGTTAGGGTTTGTTCATTTGTTTGCTTACTGGCATTAGGAATTCACAGATGTTAAATTCTTTGGTAAAACATCTATTTGTATCAGACAGAGGGCACCACCAATGCTTCCTTTGTCCTGAAGTTTCAAAAATACTGACCTTGGGATAGATAGATATGCACATGAGTTTTTCATTATTTTGCATTAAAATTCAGGTGGATTTAATTTATCTTAGAGATAACTTTGGCCCGGCGTATTTACAGAATTAGCCTGTAGTTCATTCATGATGGATGTTTGGAAAAAGCATGCGAAGACTGAAGAAGTTAAATAAATAAATAAAATTAGTAACTTATATAATTTGCTGTTTTGGTGATCACCGTTGTTGGCTTTTTTTTCCATCATAGCGAAGAGTTGTCTAATGAAACACTGATGTTTGATCATGATGTCAAAAGCCCTGCGGGGTAAGTAAAACAAATAGATGACTTACAAGTGAGCAAATACTACAAAAAAGCTATCAGCATGTGTGTCTATAAAGGAAAAATGTCAATCAGATAATATCATAAAGTTATTTTTGTGTATGTCTGTTTCTCAGTACGTGAAAACAAAGCGCCTGGTTTATGATTAGAGGAAGGTAGATTGGTTCATTGTTTCCTTCCCTCTCCAGCCACTTAGAACTCCTTTAGGTTGCTTCCTTTACTGAAGTTGTAGATGTGCAGAAATCAGGAGTGCTGCTGTCTGGTGTGTGGAGTGGTCAGTCACATATGGCAGATAGTAGTGATTTTGTTATTGTGAGAACTTAATTTTGCACATGATCAGTGTTGGTAATGTATTTGTTGAAAACATTTACTTCAGAGAAAATTCATAAACAAAAGAAAAAAATCATCTGCATGCTTTTTGTTGTTGTTGTTTCAAGCAATTTGTCATAGCTGTAGATGTTTACAAATGAATGCTTCTTTTCTTACAACATTTGATAAGGATAATCTTAGTTTGATCCCAGAAATTTTTGTGATCACTAAAATTGGTGAGGTTTATTTCACCTTTCTGTGTGACAAATATTAGAAACGGTTTCATGAATTTAGTGCAACCATTTAGAGAAGGAAATTAAATAGAAATGTTTCAACATCTTAGAAATCTCAGGTAAAATTGAAGTTGGCAGATAGCTCTCATGAAGGCTGAAATGTTGCAAGGTCATTATGTCCTCCCTGCTTGCTATTTGCTGAAAGAATAATTCCTGGAATCCTAGGTGATGTTTGGAAATGTGAACTTCTTATCTGAAAGTCAATGTTTCAGTATAATGCCTTTAAAGTTATCTTTTAGATTAGGACTTGATGAAGAGTGAGGAAAACATGAAGACTCATCTTAATAAAAAGGTTTCGTGCTCCTTCTTTTCCCTGATAATTGATCAAATCCTTTCCAGAATATCTCTAGCTAATTGCTATTTCCTTGTAATAATGTGTGGTAAGTTGTAAAAACTCCTACGCTCAGGAGGGAAGTAGTCAGAAACGATGACAGTTTTGTTTTTTATACTTCTATGCGGATGAAATTTATCTAGTGCGCTCTATCATCCATATACCTAACAACAAATATTCTTTGGCATTCCTCTTTAGAATTGCTCGTTATGTTCCAGTACTGGAGCGCTCTCCAAACCTCACATGTGTTAGAAATAAAATGTACTCCCACCAGTCTTTGAATGTTAGTAAGGGCTAGGGTGGGCTTGTATGTTTCCACAGCAAGCTCAAGAGCAAGATCCAAAGGCTTTGAGAAAGCTCAACGCGTTGCCAGCAAGTTTGGAACACATGGCACCTCTTTAAAATCCCTTCTCAGAGAAGAAGGATACTTAAAATAGACTCCTCTGTAACACCATGTGTAAGCTATTATCAGTCAAAACTTTTCCAAACTCATTGTTCAACATTCTGTAAAGGGAACCTCTTCAAGCAGCAGAGAGCCCCTACCTCAGGAAATGCAGAGGAAATGTGCTTAAAGCGGGAAAGAATCTCCCAGTTTAAGACCCAAAGAAGGATTTAGAGGTGCAAGCAAGCTTCTTAGAGATACGTTACGTATTCTATATCATTAATAATGTCTCTTTAAAAATACAATGCTGTGTTATTCTGATCTTTAAATGATGCTATCTGAGACCTCAATGTTGCTTTTGTGAAGTGGCAAGTAGCTTAACTTTTCATAAGAAGTTGATTTAGAATTGCTGTGCTGGTTTTTGTTACTTCTGTATTGTTTGGTTGAACTGTTAGGTTCGTTAGGTCAGTTCTGTAAATGCTGCAGTAACTTTACAATGCCACACAACCTGTCAGGCTATGTTTTCTATTACTTCTCAGCAAAGAATGCTGTTAAGCTTCATCTGATTTCTGAAAATGATCTATGCATATCAGCTAGCTCAATTATTCGCTCAATTATTTTAGTTCTTGATGGTGACTGAGATTGTTGTGTATCTAGTGATTACCCAGGGAAATATGTCTGGTCCAAGAAGAGTAGCAGAGAGGACTGAGGGACTCTGTATGAAAAAAGACTTTAAAAGCTGCTATCTGAATTCTGCCATGTGCAAAAAGCTGAATTGACTGTAGCTGGGAACAGCATTTAAAAAATAAAATTCTGAAGCTTTCAAGTTCACATCAATGATTAATTTAACCATTGCTGCATAATAGTGAACTGGGAACTGAACGAAATTCCACACTGCTGACAGAATTTGATCAGTTGCAAATGAAGTAAACTCAGTGCTGTGACGAATCATGGTTTAAAGCCTCCACCATATAATGAATAATGTTTCATTACTTTTGGAAATGGTGAATAACCAAAATAAATTTGGTCAGTGGAGAAAATCCACTTCCACAAAGCTGAAATGGGGAAATTAATTGAGGAAGTTACATGACTTTGGACCGCAGCCCAGTTGAAAAGTTGGATCCACTTCACAAATGAGAACGTTGCCTTTTTCCACAGAGCTTGAACCTCTGCGAAGAGGAACAGTGATGGCTTGAGAGTACCTGTTTTCTATCAAATCCTGCTTGTCTTCTGAAAATTCCAGAGCATGTTTTATTGTATTGCAGTTTTTACTGAGACCCTGCAGGTTTTCAGTAAATTAGTTTATATCCCTGCTGGGAGGTTTTCCCTTCCAATCCGTTATAAGTAGTTAAACAAAACAGAAGTTAGTAATGCAGGCTCAAGCTGATGGTGGACGTATTATGGAGGTGCACTGGAACAGTGATACTACTCTGAATTCAGTTCTGACCCTCTTGGTCTAAGGGCTCTGTGTTTGCTTTGTCTTTAGAGCTGATTTTTTACTCCTAACAAGGAGACAAATTATAGTTCTCAAGATCCTCTTTCAATTTGCCTCGCTGAATTGTTAAAAGTCCTACACATATGAAACATACGTAGATGATTCTTGAATGTGTTTATCAGTGCTCACTAACACGTAAAACCTTTGGTTGCTTAGCTCCATGAGCATCTCAAGGCTTGATTGACTCATCCCTGTATTTGGTCATATGGCCAAGTGCCTGGAAGTTTGTCATTTGAGAGAATGAGTAGTTATAATTTGCAGGACTTCGAGGGAGACATTCATATTGCTTGTCCTTGCTCATATATGCAACGTTTAACCTGTTTTGTTGCTGTTTATGTTGCTCTTTTTTCATCCAGATGCTTTGTGCCCAGAAGCATTTCAGCAAACTGCTCAGATAGGTTTTGGCCTTCTCTAAGAAGTGAGAGAAATGTTGAAAGTAGGGCCTACATTCCAATTCACTGTGACATTCAATTTATAGTAATACATGACTATTAAAGAGATGAGAGAGCAGAAGGAACAAAAATGATACCTTTGCTTTTTCCAGTCCCATAAAAGCTTGAAGGCAGTGCATCCCTTTTATCATGGTTGTTCTGCAACATTTAGACCAAGCCTAAACGCTGTAATTGCTGAAGATTTTGTGGCAAGGAGTTGCAGCTGTTTTTGTTCACATAATCTTCAAGCTAGTCAGGGCTTTCTTTCATCCCTACTTCCTTCACTCCAAATTAGCACATGTCTGAGCTTGGCTGGAATGTACAGTTGCTACCTACCTGTGGGCTGCATATCTGGTTATGGTTGACTTTTCTCTTTTGGGTCTGACTGAAGATTTTTTGAATTGAAGAGTGTAGGTTCTGTAAATTCAGCTCTAAAAATACGCTTATAACTTTTGAGTAAATAGCAACTGTCCAGAGATCACTTGACTGTTTTGCAAGAGGTGTCATCAGTGAAGAGTCAGTTTACAGTTCCCATTGATGTGAAAGTTAGGAATATCGATATAACCTGTAGCCTGACAGATTAATGTTTTTCTTCCAAGTATACATATTTTTCTATTTCAAAGGAGACAGTTGCTGTATTTTTATGTGCACTGACTACTCTGCTCTTTAAGAATAATATAAAGAGGCTGACGATAGCCAAGTGCATAATGTAGACTGCTTGTCCAAACACATTCCTCATAAATTACACCACATCCTTTTAGTCCCTTCCTAGAGCTTATATGAGTGTACAAAAGCAGATTAGAGGCTTCCAGTATCCTAAGCTTACTCCAAAATACTTCAAACTGTAATTTTACTGTGAGAACTCTAGATTGGAGTTGGCCGCAGTGTGTGAATGTAGATCTGGGAGTGGATGCTTTTCTTGCTCCTTAGGGGATATCTAAAGTAAGAAGAAGAGATACTTACCTTCAAAGCAAAATGCATTTCCATGGACAAGCAATACTGTCTGAGCAGTACATGTAGCAACAGTAAGCATGTGGCAGGGATATTTTTGAGATAAAGAGAGCAAAATATAATTTCTGCCTAAGCCCTTAGGAATATGTTTTGGGCTTCTTCCATTCCTACCTCTCCATAATTTCAGTCTAAAGAATTCTATGATTGTTTCCTTCATAAATAGATGTACTCCTTTGTGAATGCTTTCTCTTCATTCGTCTGACATAGCCCTCAGATTGTCACAGAGCAGTGTGTGTTTATCACTGTGACATTTGGAAGTATGTAAATGGCTTGCAGATACTGTGCTCGTGTGTAATCAAACTTGGCCATGCCAGTTTAACATAGAGATGACAAAATCACACTGGCTCTGAACAGGACTGGGTATAATATCTAGGTTTTCCTGCTACGTAAACACTTTCATGTCTTTATTAATTAGAAACAGGTTTCTGTTTCTTTCCAAGCTCATGTAATATCAATCAGACTCAAGAATGAGGCTCATACAGTATATTAATGATTTCACAGTTATACTGCCAGACGATTGAAGAATAGCTGGGAAGTAATGTGTATGTGTGTATATACATATCTGTATAGTATGTATGCATAAATGTTGAGCATAACCAATACAGTTTCTCAGAGTATGTAATGTGATTGATGCATTTTGATGTATATTTAATGTGACATATCATTGACCTTAAGTGAGTATTTCCCTTTTCTTACGTCTTGAATATCTTCCACCGTGAACAGATCTTGAAGCTGATCTATGAATTGGCAAGAGCTCTGTGGTCCACTGAAATAAAAACATGAGGATAACATTATTAATTATATAAATCTACAGGCAGAAAACCTTTTGAGTTGGCTGTTCATTAGGAGTAGATATCAGTAGCTTTCATCCTAAAGCGCTACTTCGTAACATGGCATTGTTTGAGCATAAAGTACCTACAATGGCTGTGGCCAGTTCCACAGTTGTTAACCAAGGGCAGACAGGAAATAATGTCACTGTTGCTCATTTACTGACAGATCAACCGGTATGAATAAATGAGAACATGTTTTGACTATTGCAGTACAATTATTCAATAAGTTCTTGTTTGAAGACTGTTCACCTGTGCCAATCAACAAATTACCTGCAAAATTTTCTTTTATTATAAATCACCATCATCTTTACCTTCCTGTGCACTGGTATCGCATGAGTTGTAGACTTGTAGGTGGTACGGGGCTAGGAACGAGGGTGGAAAGAAGGCTGGTGGTTATGAAGAAAGTCTTCTTGCCTGAAAGTTTGTGTTCACAAGTTGCAGAGGTAATGGGGTAATGAACAAGCAGGTATCTCCTCTCCTCAGCAACCCGATCTCTTGAGGCTGTAATGTTACTGCAGAGCAGTGGGAGATTCAGAGAAGGATTGATGAGAACTTACTAAGCTGAAGCTGCTAAGCTGCTTTTGAAGAAACAAAAAATGGCGTTTGAATTGGTTCTTTCCTTTGAATAATTGTATGTGTTCTTGGATGAAATTGGTTCAATTTTATGTTCCTCCTTTGGAAGGATTGGCTATTCTGCTTTTCATCCAATGCTTCGTGTGTGTGTACTTAGCTCCAAGCAGCAGAGCACTTAAACATTAAAAATAGCTTTCTTGATACAGTACTGCTAACTATACATTGGTGCAGCACATAGAAGATGAAAATCGGAGTGGCATTTAGGACATTTAAACATTACAGTAATGCAAATAATGATGGTACAGCTTAGCATAAAACAGGGAGCATGTGTATTCTGTCTGTGAATTGTTTGAGATAATTATCTGCCTAGCAGATCAGGAAGAATTTCAATTAGCTGCAACACGTAAGTAAAAAATATGGTGAAGAAATTTAGGAGATGAAACTGCAGGCCAGATGTTCATTGTAATTCCTGGTTGAAGCAAAAGGGTTAATGTTTCTACTGTCAACATTACAACATTAGGATAATTATGTTTAGATAGCTTTTAAGACATTTTTTAATAGCAAGATAATATCAGTTCTTCAAAAGCTCGTACATTCAGATTAGAACACAATTAGTCATGTCAGTTCAAGAAGTCAAACTAGATGGAAATCACTTGACAGGAAATATTGTGTTGTACGTATGCTGAGACACTTCAGCATATGTACGATAACATATGTGAAAATTCAGTAGAATTTTTAATTAATTTCCCCTTGCCTCATTTAAGAGCTAGCCTCCAAAGGGAGGATGTCTCCTGGATGAAGGCTGCTTTCTGAGAAGGGGTGTGCTGGAGAACCTAAGTTTGTGAACTCTTCTTTCTAAGTGGCTTACAGTTTGGATTCTGTGAAGTTCCTCCTATGACTCGGCCTCCAGAAGTGCTTCTATCCTCTAATGCCATGCACCACTTGGATGAGGTGATGTAAGTGCTTTTCAATGTGGGGTTATCTTTTGTGTTATTTGGAGTTAATTTTAGTATCAGCAGCAGAAATTCCTGTAGTCTAAATCAGATGAGAATTGAAAATGTTAAGATCTTTCTTCTCCCCCACTCCCCCTTTCTCTTTTTCCCCCCACAACAAAGAACACTGATTTTTTATTTTTTTTTTCAAGTGTCTGTTGAATCAGATTTGCCAAGTACAAACAGCTACCTATAGGGAACTACCTACTAAGGGAACAGCTACCTGCCTGTGCTCCGTCCTCTCTTCACCTGTGTCAGAGCATTCTATTTTTCTGCAAAACATCTGCTTCATGAGCCTTTCTTAAAAGAATTTAATTATAAAAGGAGTGTGCAATATATGGCTGTTTTAGATTCATCAGATCTTTGGAAGAGGAGAAATAACAGATGTTTGATTCAAAAGTGTCCAATGGAAACACATCACAGCTCTGGTATCTTGGTGAGAAAAAGTGTTTTTGTTTTCTCTAGTGACCTGCATTACTGTTTGTCCAATTTCATCTCATTAACTGCTGAACACAGATTCTGCAAAGACAATGTAATTTCTGGACCTTTGCATTCAGTATCCTCCTGACACCCATCCCTCCCTGGAAATTCTCCACTAAGACTTTGTAGGCGGAGGTTGTGATTGACATTTAACTTCCAAAGGAAAGTGGAGGTCTATGGATACTATGAGAAAGCATAATGTTTATGCTTTTAAGCATCATTTAGAGGCTTTACTCTGACACTGAAAGAGTGACAGTGAACTGTGCATCAGGTCTATGTACTCTAGTTTGAAACCTGAAAGCTTTTCCTCAGTGTTTTTATTACAACATTGAAGTGTTATATAAATGACAGAGAATAAATGTAGAACAATGATCTTCCACTTGTGGAGCAACTAATCTTTCATTTGGAGAACAACAACACCCTGAGCACCTCAGTCAGACAGAAGCCAGCAGGGCTCTGACACCTTTTTAGTCAACCCTAGCATGTGTATCTCTAATCTGAAGATTACGAGGCACTTTCAGCAGTGAAAATGCACAATGTCAAGTGAAAATCAGACCCAGCTCTTTGTAAAATGCAAAATGCTGTTTTCCTCTTGCTTGCGGAGCTGTATTATTTCTTTAAAACACACTTCCCTCTGTTCAAATTACATACCTTTTATGGTCTAGGGTCATGCATTTATGGAACATGATTCTAGTTATACTGATAATGACATCAACTGTCATGCTGGCACCGAACTCCTCTCTTAGTGATGTGCACGTGTCTCATGGCAAGCAATGCCAAAATGTTTCATTACTGCAGGCAGCAAAGAAAATATTGCCTTGTTTTTATTAAGTAAATGAATTTCCATAAGGGTGAAAAGGGCAAAGTTAATGGAAACTGAGTTAAAACAAGAATTTGAGAGGGAGGGAAACTGGTACCAATCATGCTTAAGTAACTTCTACTCACCTCAGTGTTTGCAGTTACCTCTTAGCTTCTTAAGCAAACAGTTCTGTTTGCTGCTTGCTGTTCAGTCATGCGGTCAGGAAGCATTTAGTGCTGTGTCACGTGTGCTGTGATATAGTAATGGGATTTGTGTGCTGCTGATAAACAAATATGGGAATAGTATTCCATCAAAAAAGCCTTGAATTTCTTTCTTCCTGTGGGACAAAATGAGCAACTGAAGTAACAAATGTGATTTCTATATATTTCTACTTCATGATTTATGCGAACTTTACTTTTCTCCAGTGGCAAACTTTATAAGAGAGACCTTCCAGCTGTGTTCTCTGATGTCCAAAGAATCCTTTCCCTTAGCCAGATGCTGAAGACAGTCAGTGTCTTCCACCTAACTGCCTCTTCTGTCTTAATTATTTCTGAATTGTTAATTCCTTTGGCAACTGGATTTGGAATTTGCTAGCAAATTTGTAAACTGCACGAGATGTGACCTTAGTGTCCAAAAACATTGTGACCATCACAGTCTAATTCCCTAGGCAACCGGCTGATTAACCCAGAACAGAGAAATCTGAGTTCTTTAGAGGTGCCTTGTAGTCCAGTGGGCAAAACTTTGTCACAGTGTTTGGCAAATTAATGTCTTGTACCTGTCTCATACTAATTCAATGACTGAGTCAAGTCAATCTCTTTTTTTTGTTTGTTTTCCTTTTTTTTCCTCTGAGAATTGGGTTGTGTGGTAGTGTGCGTGATGTGGAAACAGAGATGTATCCTATAGCAGAGTCATGAGAAAGCAGGTCTTCAGGCGACCTTCGGAGTCTGCCAGGCGGTTCCTCCCACCTCACTGTGGGTGGATATATGCTCATATCATTGTTTTTGTATCTGCTTGCCTTGTTCTCAAATAATGCAGTTATCTCCCTAGCTAAGGTATTTTCAGAACTTCTGTACTGTTGCTAGAAAATCTTGCTAGTAATTTGCAGACATGTGAAAGTTGCAAGCATTTCTGTCAGTTATATCCAAGTAAGAGTCTGTTGCTTTCAGCGTCATAGATGAAGATATAAAGTATTAACTTACAAACTACATTTAATCTACTAATATACACCATCCTAGAAAGGCACGTATATATTCCTCCTCTGTTATGAGGCCTGTGCTTCTGCTCTGCACTCCTGGTTCTATTCCTCTGGAGGGGCATGGACAGTGATAGGCTCTTCTGCCTGCTTATTTGTCAAGCTGAATCCCCTTTTCCCTCACCTGTTTTTCACTGTGTACTCATTCCCTTTCTTTCAGCAGTGCCAGCACTTTTATTCATGGAGCTCCATAGCTGTAACAAAATGAGAGGGCTAATGATTAAGGTATGACTACATACCTTTTTTAAAGGTATCTGCAGTGAGCACAAACTTTGCAAGAAATCCACTAACTTGTGAAAATGGCACAATAAATACCTCCCTCATTTCTCTCCTACTTGAGATTATTCTGCCTTCTCCACAAAAATGCCTCAGCTATAACCTCAGGCAAGAAAGCTGAAAGCAGCAAAATCTGTTATAAACATCTACTACAAACTCTTCACAAATGCCTTAACCTTCTGGGCTATTCCTTCTGCTGGAGATACATATTCACAGTGGTGCCAGCTCTTTCTGAATTTCCAGACCTTTCATTGCACGTGGGCAGAAACGTGAGAAACATTTCCTGCTAACCCTGACAGACTGTCCTGCTGTTGGGAGGCATTGCTTTCAGTGATAAGCTCTCCCCAGAGTGCTTCCCTAGAGCTGAGCTCAGGCTGCTCACTGAAGCCAGGGAGTTGTCTGCTGCCGCATCTGTGCATGCCCATTAGCTAACTGATCTGCAGAAATTCTTACAGCTGAAAATCTTCTGGAATTTGCTGCCTACATCATGCTCTGGGAGTATATCTGGATGTTACTGAATATTCTTTTCCGTATCTTTTCATTTACAGGGGTCATCAGTGTTCGTATGCTCGAGGCACGTAGCAGCTGCTGCTCCTGTGATTTTTCTGCATCCCTGCACTGCTCAGCTGGCCACCCCTGTGTACGCAGGAGCCTCTGCTGCTGGGAACTAGTTGGTGAAGAAAGGAATCCTTACAAACACTGCTGGTAGTCCTGTGTTGTGTTATCAGTTATCGTAAATCGGTTCTTGCTATCTAATTTATAGCTTAAGTGATATCTGGGAAGGCCCTTGTTATAGCACTAGACAGATGCCTCTGGAAAACTATTAAATTCCTGCCTTGTTGCTGTGTAAAACTTCTAATTCTGGAGAAAAGCATGAATTCGCATAGAGGAGCAAGAGCTGAACACCTAGGTCTTGTTGCAGATTCTGCAAGAGACTTACACAGTTTTGCTCCCCCAGCATTCTGTTTCCTTTTACTTTTTGTCTGTTAAGGTTGCCATCTTTTGAGGAATGTAGTCCCATGCTATGTGTTAGCTGGTTCGACCCTCTGCCATAATGGAGTTAAATAATAACTTTTCAGCATCTTTGTAAGTAAGCACAAGTCTGTTAGTGCTTACTGACAGTCCTTCAGTAATGTATTTATACTGGTCTCAGAAAATCAAAGTTAACTTCATCGGTTAAGACACTAGCCAGAAGAATCATTGCTACTTTGTCAGTTCATCATTCTTACATACATCACTGCAAAAGAAACAAAGTGTTTCTCTGCTCTGCGTCCCTTAGAATGTGTGAGCAGATGCCTTAGAAAAATGAGTTTTGATTCCTTGGAGATGGAGGCCAGCTCACTGTAAGGTCATTTACTAAAAAGAGGATTCTAATATAGGTCTTTCCTACCTTGTCATCTCAGAAAATGGGGCAATGGATCTGGTAGCTTCCGGGCTGAATCTAGGACTGCTGGAAATGAGTGTAATTCTGCTGAGACAAGTGGGGTCATGGTTACCTGTTACCATTTTTAATTAAACAGGCTGAGTTCATTATTATAGTGCAGCAGGAAGAAATCTGGAAGTGCAACAGGCTACTAGTTATTAACAGGCTAATGGCTTTTTAAAATTGTCGTATCATTAATTCGTATGTTGTCTCAAGGTCACTGTTTTCATGCAGTTGATTTTGGAGCCAGAGCTCTGTCCTGTGTAATAACCTAGTTATGTCATGCAGCACTGGAAAACAATATGGTGGTATCTAACGTATGAACAATATGCTAGAGAACAAGTGTGTAGAAAGCTGATACAAAGTGTGAAAATGTAAATCAGGTGCCTGCCAAACCAGGCATGTGTGAAACAAATGTTACTGCAGTGGTGCTGACAGGTGTGAGCAGCAGCCACCACATGGATTTTCTGCTTGTGCTTTTTAGCTCATCTTTCTGTTAAGAGAATCACAGCTTTCATTTTTCCAAGTGGAAAGCTTCTGTCCTTTTATTTAAATGTGTAACAGCAGATTGGGTACCATGATGTTATGGTTGATTAAGTACTAGTCCAGTAGCCTTTGGAAGGGGAAGAAAGGGAAGAAGGGTCCTGCTTTCCTTCTTGCTTCCAGATGCATAAGACTTCAGAGTTCACCCATCCTCACCCACCAGAGAGGTCGGAGGGGTGCAGGTCTACAGCTATTGTGGCTGATTGTCTTAAGATGCACAGCTTCGGCATCCAGAGCTAAAAGGCCACGTGTTGAGGCAGATAGGGTTGAGTCCACTGACATTTAGGGGACAGTAGGGGAACAGAAAAGAAATACTGAGGCATTTTAAAACTTCAGCTGTAGCACAGACATAGAGCACTGCAGAGAGAGCCCATAAAACTAATAATATATTGTTTGCCATACTGTCAAGCTTACCTGAAGTCTTGTATTCATTCCTAATAGTTAAATCCATGGAGACAACCTATGCTGCAGAACAAAGCAAAAGCTGTTCCCAAAAATGGGTGAGTACCTGAAGGAAATCTTGCATTAGTAAAACCATTCTAGTTATAACTTGTGTGGGTCTTTGGTGTCCATGCATTCAGAAGCACATTAAGCATTTGGAACACAATAAGAAAGAAAATGGTTTCAGAGCTGGAAAGGATAACTTGGTGAGGGATTTAAGATAGTTTATTTCAGTCTTAAGAGAGATCTTTTCTCTACTAACAATTATGTAATTTTAAAAGTACTTCTGGTAGCCTTAAGTTTAGAGGAGGGTGTTGTGTAGGATCTGATGGCTGGAAACTAAAGCTAGACAAATTCAGGAGAGTATCATGGGATTTTAGTTGTGAAAGTTGGACCAAATTCCTTTGCATGTCATTGTCTTCAGAAATGAAGTATCTGGTGTTCCAAACTAGATTTCCCAAATACTTCTCTAACTCTTGTGATAGTTGGGCACATAGATGGAGAAAAGAAGTTGCAAAGAGGGGGGGAATAAAGATGAAAAAACAAGCAGGAAATTCTAGCAAAGGCTTTTTCAGCATGGAAGGAGCAGTGTTCTGCAGAGATTGTTTTCTCTGTATATCATCATTGGGTGCTTCTTACTGTTTGACCTATGCAAGCCTGAGGTACCTAACCCAGCCTGTGCATAGGTAATTGTTCTGGAGCATATACTGACAACTAACCTCTCTGGTCTATTTTTCAACCTACTTCTAGTAGATTTTTAATTATCTTTGCGAGCTGATGGACATGGTGTGCACACACATACTCATGTTTCATGTTTTTAGGCTTTATCCCTTTATCACAACTGTTGTCCATTTGTACCAAGTATCACTGTTTCAAGACACTGTTTGCACTGGGAGTAATTCAAAAAGGTTACTCTTAGTGTTGAAATAATGTTGATTACTGTGTAGCGTGAACTAGATTTTTCTTCTCGTGGCGAGGCTCTTTCAGCTTCAGATTTATAAAGCCTTAGGCCTTGAGCCAGGCTTTCCAGTGGTTTTGCTGACAGCTGGAATAGACCTTCAGTGCACATGTATTGGCCCTGCTAAGTCCTCAGCTCCTCAATTTTCTGCAATAGTTTAGATACAAAAAAAAAAAAAAAAAAAAAAAACACGAAAAAACTCCCAACAACCTTGGCTTCTAGTTGCAATTTCACATATGGTAAAGTGAGCTCAGCACTTAGTTATGATTTTTTTCTTTCCTCAATCCTCCCTCCTGGTGACAATTCCAAGAGTGCATTTGGAAAATGAAGCTGGAAAATAGGAAAAATTGAAGCGAGCAGCAGAGATCTGAAAGTATGGAGGTCTTGAGATAAGGATGACTTGCCAAATACAGAAATCTCTTCAAACCATCTCTGCAGCTCAGAAAAAAAATCATAGATTTATGTATAAAAGATCAATAATCTGAGATGTTAACACTTTGACAGTTAGAGATTTGCTATTTTAAAGTAACGCTGCAAAATGTCTTGGGGAACTTTTCTGACAAGGTTAGTCCTGTCAGTGAAAGTTACAGTTGTAGAAAACATTGCATTACCCTCTACTGATACCTCATTTGATCTCAGGCTCTGCCAAAACCAGCAGTCATTTAACTTTCAGAAGCTTTAGATTTCCTTACCCTTATTCCAATCTAAAGTTCAGAGCGTATCCCAATCCTCAGTCTAAAGTTAATGCAGGTCAAGGTGTGTGCTAGGGATAGCTAATGTCCAGGATTTCTCTCAAGGGCATATCTTTCACAGCAGGAAGTACTATGCCTGAAGCTACCACGAAGTTTTCGACCTCAGCTGCTGAAGATTGCAGTGAGTGCCTGAGAGGCCCTGGGGTTCAGAACAGGGCTCAGGGAGGAACTTGATCCTCTAGTGCAGTTTTTTTTTCCCATTAGAGAAGAAATGAGATTTGAGTGTCACAAATTGTTTCCAGAGTGCTTTTATGTTGCTATCTTTTTGTTTCTTCCTTCTGGAGTCAAAGTTAAAGGTAATTTTTTTTTAAGCCCAAGGAATTCAGATTATTTTAATTCTCCTAGATGCCTTTAGCTTAATCATGGGACTTGGCCTGGCATGCTGTTAGAGGAAATCTTTCAGTCCAGCTCTTTTTCTTTAGAAGCAGGTACTAATAGTGTAAAACGTCTTTTCAATTTATTATTATTATTTTTTAAGTTTTGACGTGATTTTTGAGTATGTGGGTGAAAAAAAAAAAAAGAAATCTACCTTAAAGTAGGTTCAAGGTATCTTGCAAGAAGTGCAAGACTTCCAGGATGCATTCATTTTGATGAATTTGTTCCTGATGGACTGATATATTCAGTGACTTGAAACCAAAATCTTTATGCAGCGAGTTCCTACAAGCAAGGGGAATTTTGTGTGCCCTTAGCTTTAAGGTAACTAGAGACTGATAGGGGCTCAAACAGCGTAGTAGGAAGGAGCAGCCAGATGAGGACTGACCGGCTGATGGGCAATTTACTGAAATGGTCAGTACAGGCCATACAGAAATGGTCTTGTTTGAAGTTAATGTGGAGGTATCT